TTCTGTTCTTGTGCTGTAGTAAGAACATATATATTTCTGCTTGGTCTTATCGATCAATAGAAACTCTAGTGAACCACCAGATTATTGCAATGTAAAAAGGGTAGCCATTGATTCTCTGATCAAGTCATTGATTTTTCCAAGAACAGATCGCCGATTTTCTGACCAGGAGACGAGTTTTTCCGGCAGTAGAACCGAAGTTTCCTGGCCCAAACCATTTTCGTAACTACCTACTTTTCCCCTTGTTATAGTAATCCATTGGGAGCAAATGAGCGTTGATTTTTCGCTAAATATAACTGGTAATGATGAAAGCTGTTTCGCTCGGTATAATACTAGGTGAAATTGTTATATAACGTTTGGCAACATTGTCTACTCTATCGAAATATACTTAAATATCTACGCCTGGATTTTAACAAAACTTGTTCTCATCTTTTAGCCAGTTTTGATTCCGATGAGGGAAGATCTCCAACTGTCCGATTTTGACCTCATCTTTTGACCACATGAAGACTTCGATGAGACTAGAAAAACCTAAAACCGCAAACGAAAACACCCGTTTCGCAACCGAAACGAAACGTTTTCACAAATAGACCTGAGTATTGGATAGCTGTACTAAAATTTTCAGTCCGCTCGCTTGTAAAGACCTTGAGGATAAAAGATTTCTTTTATCCACACACACACATCTTTTATCCGTTTTGAAGGATAAAAGATGTGGTCAAACATGCCTTCGCACAGTCTCTCCCTTTAGGAATGCTTCACGGCCTTATCGGATACGTCTAGTTCGGCAGCGTCTATGTCGATCAGCATCCAGGCTAATTCGAAAACGTTCATCAGATCTGTTCTACTTTCAATGAAAGTTCATGTTATCACAAAATCTGTAATTACTCCCCCTTCAACGCTTGTAGGTGGTGTCTTCAAGCTATCTGCTTGGAACACTGCTTTGTTAGCCATCATATTCATTAGTCGAACTGTCAGATCTTTTATGTGTGTAACCAAGTCTATGTGAAAATAAAATGAAAACCTCTTTCATTACCTATACGAACGAAAAATTCAACAGCTCAAGGTCTTTACAAGCGAGCGGACTGAAAATTTTGGTACAGCTATCCAATACGCAGGTCTATTTGTGAAAACGTTTCGGTTACGAAATACCTTACAGAGAGTGAAAAAGAAAAAAATCTGTTAAACATTAGTTATTGTTATGCAGAGAGTAAAAATTTGATATCTCGACAAGAAAGAACGGTAGGCACGAAATGGTTTTAGGTTTTTCTAGTTTCATCAAAGTTTTCATGTGGTCAAAAGATGAGGTCAAAATCAGACAGTTGGAGACCGTCCCTCGTGAGGTATTAGTCTCTCAAGCTTTCTCTCGTTGATGTTTTTTGAGTTGGATATGTTGTATATTTGTTGTGGTCAATACTCGAATTCCAGATACAGTAATGTCTTTTATGTTTGCGTTTTACTTTGTAATCTTGGAAATCTCAGTTTTTCATCATTTTCACCTGTTATAGAGAAGATAAATGACGATGACTTTCTAATCGAAGTTTTGTTCGTTAAAGGAAATTAAACCTCTCCTGTTTTCATGCGTTGCGTTGTCATTTTAGACGTTGAGTGTATTGGTTCTGAGTAGGTAGGTAAAAGTATAGTAAAAATAAAGCGCTATCAGATTTTATTTATGTCTTTTTAAAACTAAAAATTTCCATTCAATGAGAATATGTGATGTGCGATGGTAAACAGGTAGATGAAAAAAAAAGTCATGAATTCGAAATAAACCAAAGATTTTTCTTTCAAATTTTTTTTTAAATATCATACTAAATTGATTTGTCCGTATACTGATCGAATCTAAATTGAGTTATTACGATAATATGTCTATTTGAGTACAGCTAATCAAATGTATAAAGGTAAAATAAAAAAAAACGAAGCAGAATCAAGATTCAAAAAAATAAGTATAGGCAATATGTTTGTGAATGACATAACAAAAATGTAATTCAAAAAATCTTTTTTTTTTCCTATGAATGTTTTAGCTAAAAGAGACTTCCTGTATAATTTAGACTCATCAGTGAGTTTGAAACAACCGTTCATTCTGATCTATCCAAATAATAAACTTAATAAGCATTGTTTGGCTCATCCCTAGAATATATCTGTAAGAAAATTAAAACAGAGCAGAATGAGTATATTATTTGTAGAAAAAAAGCTTTAATGATTTTTTTTTTACGGAACTAAAAATATTTCATGACAAGAATATCAGCAAGACTCAAACAAACGAACGAAGTAGATAATCGAGAATGTATCCGTTGTTTTTTTTCTCCTATATTAGATATTCTGTTTTTTTTATAAATAAAAATGATCATGACCATCTGATGCCTTTATTTTTATTTTGTTTTTCTATTCTTTCGTCTTTCTTATTCCACTCTATAGTATTCTATCATTATTGATAAAGCGAAAAAAAGTTTCTTTTGTTATTCTGTCACAAAGATCTCATCTTACTTTTTCGCTACAGTTGCAACAAAGCGGTTAACTCTTCAAAAGAAAAAGAAAATGTTTTCAGAACATAGTTTTCAGAATAAAGCAGTAGTACAATGAACAATAACTTTTTTCTAAATTCATACTGTTTCTACTGAGAAAATTTATTTAATCTCTCTTCTCATTTTCAGATCCTCGCGACATCCCTGCTTATACTCTATTATTCCACGGATTTATTAATTCTGGTTGTATATAGATTTTTGGATGTACTAGATCACATCGTCATTTTTAAGTAGTCTTTTTTCCTGTGTTTCTAACCACAGTTAGAACAAAGAAACAATAGTCAACATAGCTTAAATCTTCAAAAGACTCCGTTTAGTATAGTAAAATTATGGGGTTAGGTTATTATTTCCAAAGATTGCGACTAAATTTGTCTAGTGTATGTGTTTTTCCCTTCTAACCATGTTAAAATCAATCAATCATCTAAAAAAGAACAACAAAGCAAGAAAGAAAATAAATGAAGAGTAATTTACATTCAATGGAATGACTACTAATCAGCTTCAATGAGATAAAATAGAAGAAAAATCTTTCTTTAGGATATCACTGGCTTTTTAGTGTCTTATTGAATATTTCTAAGATGCAATTTTGACCCGATAATGTCTGCTATCTATTTAATTTTCTCTCATATATTTTACTTACTGTGAGCTCACACAAAGGAAAAATTTTTAGATTGCTGCTGATTTGATTTCTTTCTCCATCAATTTTTACAGATTCTCTGACGATGATGGCGATGATGATGATGATGATGATGATGATGATGATGATGATACTCAGCACAAAAAGAAAAACACGAACAAAAGAAAAATTGTCGAAACCTCTCTCTCTCTATATATACGATGGTGGATGAGGCGGGTGAGGAATAAATAAATTTCAAACGATCTTTTTTACTTTTATGTGTATGTCCCACTCTGTACAGATTTGTAAAAAATATGCGGGTTTATCGACAAAAATTTTCACAAGGATTCATTAAAGTCAAAACATTATTTTCCTATTAAAATAAGGAATTCATCTTTTAGTTGTGTGTCACTTTATTGTTATAAAGTGTCGATGAAAATATACGGTATTTTTTATTTCAGTGTATATAATCTATAATGTAGTTGTAAGTTATTTTCTTTTTTTTTTTTAAATAGAAAAAACAGAGAAAAGAAAATACAACGAACCAGAATATATAATTATAAAAATAATATTAACAGTAATAATAACGTAGAAAAGTAACGTGTCTGTGTAAGAGAAAAGGCAGCACTGAAATGTAAGTTAGAACAGTGTTGCATTTTTTATTATCAAAACATAAACTTACATTTTTTTTTCAGTTTAATACAGAAAGTGAGATCTCTTTTGTTTTATAAATCTCCCTTATCTTTCTTAGAAACATTGAAGTAAAGAATATACTGAATGGTCAGAGAATAAGATGGTATTTGTATTCTTTTTCCTAATGTCTTTGCTGTTCACAATAAATTGAACTTAACACATGATAGTCTAATATTTGACTGTTAGAAATTCTATTGTGTTCAATGCATTGTGGAAAGTCATGTCTCATGTCGTCTCTGCTATTAGATGACATGTCGGACAAATTTGTTTGATCAACAACTAAATACACCTATAAAATGATGCATAATTTAAATAATTTCGTCACATTAGACGGATTTATTCATTTTATCTTGGCATGATAGATAGTTCTAGGCGATTTTTATTTTGTATGCGATGCGGCATTGCTTGATGTAAATTTTGCTATGTAATGTTAGATGAGTAGTTCTGAAGAACTAGTGAAACAGAACTTCTTTTGAAACAGCATCTACCGCAAACAATGAGAGAAAGAAGAGAAAAAGAGAAAGAACGTAATAGGTGATACATGCACACAATTGGTATTCGAGATCATATATCACACTCCTTTCGTTTTCTCTCTGATAGATAGATGAAGTAAAGAAAAGCCCTTCACTGGCACTTTACTATAAAAGGAACAGAAGAGAAATAATAATGACAACACGAATGACAACATCATCATTAAAGCAATTACGTCGCTGAATCTTACTTTTTTATGTATATACCGAAGAGGTGGTTTTGTTTTAAAAAAATGCATTTGTGTTTTGTTCTCTTTTGTTTCCTTGACGTATACGCGTTACTTTATCATCATAATCATCTAACTACACATGTGTAAAAAACACACACATAGTCATGACAAATTTATGGAAAAAAGAAAGAAATAACTAATAACAAACTGGATACTGAATGATTCATACAAATAAGACGCTAATGAACCTTTGCTTTTCTTTTTCCGTTTATTTTGGGAATATCTCGGGTTTTTTTTCACTCATTCTCCTTCTCTGTTGCTCATTATAAAATATCGAAAATTGTAATTAAACGTCACTGTCGTTGCATGTGCTTGTTTGAGGTGATGTTTTTCAATTTGTTCATTATAGACTATTTCATTACAAAGAGTATAGTTTATTTTTTCCTTCTACTTGCATTTTTTAGTTGAAGATACCTCAACCATGAACAATGATACGATAAACAACTTGTCCTCATCAAATAATCGTTCATTATCCAATCGGTATTATCCATTACAAAATTTTTCATCATCTCACAATCAGTTCGGCACAATTGGAAGTCAATTAACATCCGTGTTAAATTTACCACGTCAACAACAGCAACAAAAATCAATCGTCTTACCAATACATAAATCAGTATATCATTCGAATAATTCATCAAAATGTTTGTCACCCGTACATTGCCCTCAGCAACATCAAAAGGTACAGGACGCAGTTGAATCTCCAACGACAAAACATTCATCTGTTCCAACTTCACAGAATCCATCATTTGAATGTGTATGGAACTGGATATTATTTTCACCAGCATACTATCCACAGTATTATAGTCCACACCAATGTAAACCTAACGATTCTTCTTCTATAACATATTCGAATACAGAAGAAAATGATTTAATCTCATGGTTATTAAATAGTGATGAAGATATATCGTCTTCTACTGATATTACTGATACGCCTTCTGATGATGAATCATCTACATCGGAATTAATTGCTCGTCATCGATGTACATCGCCAACAAGATCCGATTCAGATGATGGTTATATATCGTCATCTGATCAAGGGTCAAATTCGTTAATTTATTCGTCTTGTGAACTAATAAAAGATGAAGAAAAATCACTGAAAATTAATCAGAGTAATGTTGTCAGTTCTCAAGAGCCACTGTTACTTACACCTCTCAAAAAAGCTCCCTTGTCATATGCGGCAACCGTTAGTTCGTCAAAACCAAATGTAATTTTAAATAAATTCGCTACATCACCCAAAAAGCCCACGGTAACGGAAACAGCGGATAATATTCTGGCTTTGCGTTCACCAACTCCAACAACATCATTGCAAAAGCCAAAATTATTTTTTGTTGCACCCCGTTTTGAACGTTTATATCAACAAAAAGAGAGAACAAATAATACACCATCGTCTTCAGCAAATAATAAAACGCGTACATACAATCAACAAACGGTAACAACAACAACGACTGTACATTCAAATCATTCGCTAACAATAACAAAACGTCGTTGATAAACTTCTTCTCATTATTATTACTATCAGTGGAAATAATTCTATGTTTATTGCCATTATATTTGGTACCGAACCAATTTTATATTGTTTAAATACAAGAAATAAACTATACTGAACGATCTTTTTGTCTTTGGTACTATTTTTTGTTGTTGTTCTTTGCCAATGAAACCTCTTTTTGTTTTCATTTCATGTAATCTATTAATATCAATTTGTTTTCCTTGCGTTATTTTTTTCCTCTTCACATTTGTTGTTGTATTAGGAGTCAGTTATTGTCTTTAAATGGTGATTATGTTTCTTTCTGTTTATTAGCTACCTGTTGTTTCTTAAGTATATAATTTAGTAGAAAGAAACTAACATGGATTCAGCTAAACATAAACATCGAATACAAAGCACATTCGACACCATAACGGCATGATATATCGAAGTAAAGACTAGTGGTGTTAAAGCGAACTTTTTATTATACAATATTGTTGATATATTTTTTTGAATTAACTACAACAAAACGATTTAATTAATATTTCTGTTCTTCTTGAATATTTTTAGTTTTTATCCTGATACCTTTTTTGTGTGAGAAACTTTTTGGATAACTGTTGAATTGTTTACCAAAGCAACATACGAGAAACAGCTGATTGTATATAATCGATTAGCCTGAACACAAGTTCGTTTTGAGAATTATTTGAAAACGGTAGAATAAACTAATTTCTGTTAGTCTTCGAAAACTGCCTGCACAAAGTCGTTCCTTCACAATTTTTCAATTGCTTCATTTGGTGTAACTGGAAAGAGACATTTTTTGTAGTTAATGAGCGAGACCGAAGGATTCTCATCAAGTACAGCAGATTGATGATCATGTTTACCTATATAAGAATTCCTAACTATACTCATTAACTTGATCCAAAAACCGATTTTTACTGGAGAGCTAACTACGAAGGAATGACTGACAGTTATCCGAAACTTTTAAATCGCCTCACAGAAATTTGTTTCTTCTACTTACCTGTGAAAAATTAGGAAAAATGATTACAATCAAGCGAGTTATTCTAATGAGAAATTCAAGAATGAACAAAGTTCGTCCAATTATTTTGCTCTAATAGCTATGTTTCAACATGCTCTTGATGAAATGTGTTTTTCGATGAAAACAGACGATAAACATCACGGAAAGTTTAAAACTATGTCGTTATCTAAGACCAAAACACTACTCACGGAAAGTAATGTCGACCCAAGTTGGACATTGGACTGACTAGCACACATAAATACATTTAAAGAAAAAAGTTTTTGAAACATGACTTCTTGTCCCATTTACTCTGAAAATCGAGTGTTCACAAACCAGTCAGTTGTCGTCCGTTCATCCATCAATTTTTACAGGTGTTCTCTCTAACTGAAATATCAACTTTTCTTACTTTAAGATTTAGGGTGAACCTTTCAAAACTGTCGTATAACCCATATACTGTTTTATAAATCTAATTAAAGAACCTTTACAGCATTACTCTATGGTTTCGATACAAGTTTTACGAAAAGAAATTAAACTTTTACTAAAATGAGAGTAGCCGAAGCAGGCGGGAAAAATTATTTTGGATGAAAACTTAATCTATTTAAGTAAGAAACAGAATAACACCGTAAACATTGTTTTGTACATTTTCGTCGTCTGATAGAATTTTTTTACCATAATATCAACATATTACTCAACTTGATATTGAAAGTGTTTTTAAGGATCTACATCTTTTATTTTTCTTCTGTCATGTTTTTTCGTTTTGGATAGCGGGAACTCATAACGTATGCTGTGGGAAGGTGATTTTAATCAGAACGGAGTCTACATCGAACAAACTACATACATATACTTAACGCAGTGAATGTAGAAAAAAAATCATCAAACTATTAGTTACAAAATTATGATTTATTTATCACGGCCAATAGAATAAAAATTACATCGTCTAAATAATAAAACCTTGATTAGGTAGAATTCATACAAAACACTTATTAGTTTAGACCTTAAGGTCTAAAAGTGAAACTTCTCTGTGCGATCAGTTGGAATATAACATGTTTTCCAACAAGATGATCGATAAAAGGTACTATACTATTTGTTATACGTAGTGGTACAGCTTCGAAGTATTAAGTGCTTATCAGTCTAAGAATATATTACCATGTCTTTCTTGGTGTGTGTGTATGTTTGAAGGGAATTGGTATTGAAAGGTGACATATATATCTATTCTACATCTACATTTAACCCTCTTTCGGCATACTATCAACCTTGCGGTATGTGATGAACAATTATAATTATATTCAGTATTGACTAAAACTTGTTATGATCCCTTTTCCTACACGATATGATGGCCTCTCATTAAATTGCTACAAATTCTAGTATTTGGTTATTAGTCAAACGAGTGTATCTGGTTGTATTTCAATCGAATATTTCTCTATGTTATTCCAATGTTTTATGATTGATTAACAGCGTGTACTGCGACTGAACGAGCATGGATTGTTCAGAAAGGAACTAAATTCAACAAACTAGAGAGTGTAAAAGTTGCAAAATTCATGTTATGTGGAATATTATTAGTCGTGTTGACTATTCACGAGATATTCAGCCGTCATGTTATCAGTGATCTACAACTCACCGGTCAGTAATGGTGTATAATGACATTTGGTCGATATTGGTTTTCGCTGTATGAAATGGAAACAAACTTATTTCATTTGATTACACCATTTTTCCACAATTTAATATCGACCTGTGTGTTTCTTGCCAGGCTGATTCGACGAAATCCACGTCGTCTCTCGCCACACAAATGTATGGCGCTGTACTAACGGACCACATTCACTTGTATAAACCATTTATTGCTAGTCCCATCATCCTCGAATTACCTCGTATTATCTTTACATTTTCATTAGCTTGCATTAAATATTCATGAGAGAAATACGTCTCTCTTATAGGTTATCTTATCAGGTTTCACCCATTGATGTGCACACTCTTCATGTTTGTTTTCCCATGGCCCGTTTATAAGCCTTTTCAAAAGCCGAGCTGATGTCATGCATTGATTTTTCAAAATGTTCAGATCTTTCTACCTTCTTCCCCTGATCACTCCTTGTTGTACCGACATGTTGGTGAACATCCCTTCCACTTTCTTCCGAATCCTGCACGTTTGTAAAGTACGCACTGTCCACTCACGCTGTTTATTTATCAAAAATATAGAAGAAAAAAAAATAACATGGGAAAAACGAGTAGGTCTACTCAGGTAAATCAGACAGGAAAAAAGCTTAACAAAACAAGTTCACACAATCTGGAAAGTAGAACCTTCTGTTCACTATAATGTTTCATTTGTTGTGTACCATTAATTGTGACTGGGTGGTGTTTTTTCATCAGGTAAACGTCCCGTTGGATTTTTAATACCCACGATTCCACAAGCAAGTCGATCGCCGGAATTACTAAAATCAAAATTGAAAACATCGCATCCGTGCTCGATTCTAGAATATTATCGCTGGCTTGTTTGAGAAAACTGAATAACTGGTGGGAACAATGCTATTTTCGGGCAAAATGTCGATTTTTCATATGGGACTTTCTTTTCTTGATACAGTACTATCCATTCTTTCAATCTCGCTCTGAAACGATCCTGCTTCAATTAGCTTCAGTAAATGTACAGAGAGGTTTGAATTTTATTCATCTTGTATGCTCGGCGGCCTTCTTTTTCTCGAGAGTACTCAGAACCCGGTCAAAATCAACAGATTTTTGGTTGTGGAAACTTGATAACCTGCTGCATTAAAACATCACAAATAAATTCTATATATTAAAACTAGAGTCTCATATCAGTTTTGAAAATTCATTTTTATGATTCTTACCCAGTACTTCTGCTTCCTTCATTATCAGAGAGTCCAAGATCGTCCATCTTGGCATGAACAACAATCGATCGACCTTGAAATTGAACAGAAACTTACGCTTATAGCAAACGTGTCGATAAAAACCACAAGCTTACCTATCCAGCCTTCATGTCCGAAGAGTTCTGCATCATGGATGACGAGATGTATTCGACCAACGCCCTCTGCATCTGTCCGAACATTCCCGAGATCTCCTGGATGACGAACTGTACTGTTCTCACTACCGTGGTTGACGTTGCGGGGGTTGAAATGCTCGCCAGCCGATACACACCCATTGGACAAATCTCCACTTTCGTGAACATGCAAACCATGTTGAGACTTTCTTTTTAAATTATAAATCGTTCCTTCAATAATTAAAGGTGAACCTACAAACAAAAGAGAGGCGGTGAAATATTACAATCTCTAACTGGCTAGTGTTCCTTATACCTGACTGTTTTTGAGTGATTTGAATTTCACCGTGGACTTGAGAACCATTATCAGATGAGAGAACGGCAACAGCAGTAACTGAATAACCGGTAAAATAAAGATAGAAAATCAAGTAGATTGTATGCCAAATAGGACTCATTCCCAAGACTCCAAAAAGTGAATAAGCGTACTTACCGCATGGAACGACGTCAAACTTTTGTAGACGGTTGTTGAATCGGTCAGCGACGTAGATATTGCCGCTCGCATCCAAGGCGAATGAACTGGGATAGATTAATTGATTTGGTTTGCTACCAGCACCATTACCTAAAGGTTATTCAACGTCGCAAAAAGCTAGGAAGGATTACAATATAAAGCAGACTTACCACCGACTATTGTGATTCCAGAATTTGGATCGGCGCCATACTTTTGAATTCGATGATTGAACTCATCGGCCACATAGATGTTGCCATCAGAATCGACTGTAACAGCTGACGGCCATTTCATTGTTTCACCACCAGAAGTCTCTTTTTCACATCCATCAACCACTGTCACACCTATGCGAGAACCCCGCTTAAATTTTTGAATTCGATGATTGAGAGAATCAGCCACGAAGAGATTCCCTTCACGATCAACGTGGATTCCTCTTGGACTGTCGAGTTGAGTGTCTTCTTCACCTGCGACACCAGTTTCTCCTGCGATAACTT